TGCTAAGCTACTGTGCCAGCCCCTATTCTGAAACTTTGATGAATGTATTTCTTAGAGGTCTGTATGCATGTGTGTATATGTGTGCTGAATCTAAGACTTCTCCATACAACATGTTACCTGCAAGCAGATACACTATTATTTCTTCCTTTACAATTTGAATGTTTTGCTGCTGTTGCTGTTTCTCTTACCTGATTGCTCTGGGGAAGTTTTTCAGTGCTGTGTTGGAAAGAATTTGTGATAGATAACCTTTTCATTCCAGATACTCGCAGAGATAGTCCTCACCACTGATTTATGATAGTAGCTGTGGATTCCTCATAAATGACCTTTGTTAGTTGTCTTGTATTCCTAATTTGTGTTTTTATCATGAAAAGGGTTGACTTTTGTCAAATTTTTCTGCATTGTTGAGCTAATCATGTGGTGTTCTTTATAGTGTATTACACTGACTTTTTAAAATTTAGATAGTTACGTTCCTAGGATAAATCCCATTTGGTCCTGGTGGGCAGTCCTTTTACTATGCCACTGGATCTGAGTTGCTGCTGTTTTGCTGAAGATTCTTATACCATGTTCAAAAAATACTGGTCTACAGTTGTTCCCTGTGGTATCTTTACTTAGCTTCGTATCAGGGCAATGCTGGCCTACAAAGATGGGTTACAAAGTGACCCACTTCCGTTTTTTGGGAAAGTTTGAGAATTATTGGATCTATACATATTTTACAGAATGCATCAGTGAAACCATGGGATCCTGGACTTTTGTTGAAAGCTTTGATTCCTAGTTCAGTATCCTACTTATAATACAACTCTTCTGATTTCCTTTTTTCTTGAATTAGTTTATGTAACGGATGTATTTTTAACAATCTGTCCATTTGATCCAGTTTTCCAATTGGCATGGAAACTTTTATAGCACCGCTTTATAAATCCTTTTTATTTCTAAATGATCAATGCCCCCACTTTGTCTCTCTTGTCTAAGACTTTTCAAAGAACCAACTTTTGGTTTCACCAATCCTTTCTATTCTCTCTCTGTTCTGACAGACTTGCTCTTTTTCTAGTTCCTCCAGGTATAAAGTGACATGAATAATTTGAGACGGTCCTCATTTGATGCAGATATTGACAAATATAAATTCCCATCTCAGCCCTGCCTTTGCACCCCATTTTAGTATGCTTTTCATTTTCATTAGTCCCCAAGTACTTCCCAGTTTCCCTTGTGGTTTCTTCCCTGACCCTCTGGTTATTCAAGTTTCTGAATTTCCCAGTTTTCTTTGTCACTGATTTCTAGCTTCAGTCTATCACAGAGATGCTTTGCTGAGTCTTTACTGAGATTTACATTACAGTCTCACATATAGTGTTTCCTGGATGGCATTCCATGTACACGTGAAACAAATGTATATTCTGGTATTACTGGGTGAAGTCTTACATATGTGTATGTTTAGCTGTATTTCGTGGGTGTTGTTAATTCCTCTACTTCCTTACTGTTTTATGTTATACCCATCAGTGAAGGTTAGCTACTGAATTTTCCAACTATTAATGTATAACTGCCATTCTGTTTTCAGTTCTGTCATAGCTTCCTGTGTTTTGGTGTATATATTTATAATTATATCGATCCTGTTGTCAATTGGTCATGTCCTTTCTTCTTCTAACAGGTTTTAACTTAAGAGTTTATTTCATCTGATAATAGCAGAGCCATCTCTGCTCCTCTCGTTACTGTGTATGGAGTATTTTTTTCCATCCTTTTACTCACATACGTGTGACTGAGTCTGGAGTGGCTCTTACAGACAGCACATGATTCGTCACCGGTCGCATTCTGGCTTTGTGCCTTCTGGCAGCCCCTGCCTTTTCACTGGGGAGTGTAATCCACTGAATGTAAAGTCACTGTTGATAAGAGGGACTTGTCATTTTGTAATTGCATCTTAGACTTTTTGTCTTTCTGCATTACTTCCTTTTGTGTTTAGTTGACTTTTTAAACATCTGCTTATTTCTTTGAAAGGCAAAGTTAAAGAGAGATGGTTATCCAGTGGTTCACTCCCCAAATGGCTACAATAGGAGCTTCATCCAAGTCTCTCAAGTAGCAGAGGCCCAAACACTTGGGCCATCCTCTGCTGCTTTCCCAGGCACATTAGCAGGGAGCTGAATAGGAAGTGGAGCAGCCGAGACACAAACCAGCACCCATATGAGACGCTGGTGTCACAGGTAGCAGCTTAACCTACTACACCACACCACCAGCCCCTTAGTCGACTTTGGTAGGGAATTATTTTGGTTCCTTTCTCATTTCCCACTGGGCATTCATTATATACACCTCTCCCACCTGTGCTTACATCGCTGTGCACACGTTCTTGAGTTTCATGAAGTCAGATTTGTTTTTTCTTTGTTGCTCACACCTTAATGTCCTATCTAAGAACCCATCACCAACTACAGTCTTCGAGATCGAATTCCTATGTTTTTTCTTTTTTAGGTCACTGCACTATTTTGCATTAACTTTTGAACCTAGTGTAAGGTGGGGGTCCAAATTCTTCTTTTCCGTTGAAATCCAGTTATCCCAGCACCACCTGTTCTGGTTTGCCTCTTGAATGGACTTAGCACCCTTATCAAAAATCAGTTGGCCACAGACACAAGGGTTAACCAATTCAGGGAAGAGAAAACTGATGGTGAGTACAGCATGTTGCTTATTGATGGGACTGAGGAACAGTCATGCAGGAGAGGAGAGGAACTGCTGCTCTCAGCAGACGAGCGGGGATGACATGCAGGTCACAGGAGGGGAAGACGGGCAGAGCTTGTCACTGCAGGTGCCGACAGGTGGGTGGATGTGTGTTACGTCCTGAACAGAATGTGTCCCCCCGGTTCATGAGGAGTTTAAACAGTTAATGAGTAAAGGATAAAAATTTATCTAATTTTAACATCTGGGAGGTGGCCCAGTTGGGAGCTTGCCCTGGAAAGATGGCTCCCAAGAGAAGGCTGGCCATTGGAGCCAAGTCCAGCCTGGCTTGTCTGCTTCCTGGCTCACTGTGTTACTGTCCCTCCACACACATCCCACCATATAGGACATTAATGCGGTCACCACCTGATCTTAAACTGATAGCCTCCAAACTATAAGTCAAGAACTCCTCTCACCTACTTTAAAGCAGCAAACAGCTGACTAATAGCAGGTGGCACAAACTATGGACACTAGTCCCTCTACTGAAGAACTACTCTGTGGTCACTCACTCACTCCGTGCTTGACACTGTTCTACGCACACAATGGTGAATCCACAAACAGGAGCCTGTACAAATGAAGCTGTCAAATCCAGCAACCAGACAGAAACATCAGGGCTGGCACTGTGATGCACTGGGTTAAGCTACCACCTGCAACACTGGCATCTTTCTCTCTCTCAAAATAGGACAGTGGTAATTAAGTAATTCATTTGTGATACTTAATATTTCATAAAATTCTTACGATATTGTTTAGAAATAATTGCTTTTGAACTTTCAGAACACGTGATTGTAAGGTGTTGCATGGAGATCATGAGGTAATGTTTCTGGGGCAGGCACTGTGGTGCAGCAGTTAAGCCACTGTCCCCTACCGAGCGCCTGATGGAGTTCCAGTTCCGTCTCTCACCCAGCTTCCTGCCGATGCACGTGGTCGGAGGCAGCAGGTAACACCCAGGTGCTTGGGTCCCTGCTACCCAAAGGCAGACCCGGATGGGTCTTGGCTTTGGCAATGGCCTTGCCGAGCTCTGGCTGTTGCCAGCATTTGGGGAGTGAACCAGCAAATGAACGCGCTCTCTCTCTGTTGCTCTGCCTTTCAAATAAATAGACTTTTTCTGAAAAAAGTTTTTTTTGTTTTCCAATATTTATTTATTTGAAAGGCAAAGTTGCAGAGAAGGAGGGAAAGAAAGAAATCTTTCACCCACTTGTTCACTCCCCAGAGGGGCTGGGGCAGGCCGAAGCCAGGAGTTTCTTCTGGGTATCCCACCTGTGTGCATGGGCCCAAGCACTTGAGCCATCTTCCACTGCTTTCCCCAGCACACTAGCAAAGAGTTGGATTGGAAGTCAAACAGCTGGGACTTGAACCGGTGCCTATAAGGGATGCCAGAGTCACAGGCAGTGGCTTAATCTGCTACACCACAACACTGGTTCCAGTGAGTTTTATTTGACGTCAAAGTATCTCTATGTGGAGTGTGTCCATGTGTAGAATATGTAATTATCCATCTTTATTTTGAAATTAAGTTTCAATCCCATAATTATTCAAATGTTAATGTTTTAAACAATATCTCCACCAACAAAGGAATTTCCACAAACGTTTTTATGTATTATAATTGTTATATAAAATCAAATTCCACTGTATTTCCATCTCAAGGACAAAGGTCGGAGAAAAAAGTGCATATGGGAAATAGGCTTCATTTTTATTGTATTTATTTAAAAAGCTCAGAGATATGTAGTTCATCAGGTGATCGTGTCTAGGGCAGAATAAACTGAATGAAGCTAAACAGAAGCATAGGTTTTGAAAAACGGTGATACAGAGTAATAAACAAGATTGTCATTTTTCTCACAGAACTTACAGACTTGTAAAAATGTGGAATTCTTACCTCAAAAATGCTTTGGTCAAAAGAACTCAATTGGATCATTACAAAGAATCTCAGGTAAGTGTCACGTGAGAGGCCAGTGAGGCCGAAAGCTTCCACGTCGTCCTCACCCAGCCTTTCTGACATCTGTATGCTCCAGGAAGCATCAGCTTCACACACACACTTTTCAAGGGCGGATACTTTTAAATAAACCAATCCAACTGAAAATAAACATTTCCCTAATTTCATCTTAAATACAACGAGCTTTGCAGTGCTACAGTGACGTCAGAGCGTTAGCTCTGCTCGCTGCGTCGTGGTGTCTGCAAAGCCCGAGAGTCTTAGTCTGCAGCACATCTTTTTTGGAAACTAAGAATTATGTGTCTTACATGAAAAGCACCAGTCAGAAATACTGTTCCTCAACTAACGCATAAACTGACACAATATGTCAACACAGAGCCAAAACATCCAATTCAAGTATTTTAGGTTTTTTATTTAATAAATAACTTCAGTAAATAGCACTGTAAAAAGTGAACTGTTAAAATTAAAAGGCACTTAAAACAAGAAGGTGACAGGCAACTCGAGCAGTGAGAAGTAAATACAGTGGTCGCCGTGGCCGTGGCGCTAACTGAAGTAACGCTTGCATGAGAGAGGACTGCCGCACAAGCTACAGGACCAACAGCAAATCACAGCTACCGCTTCAAAGGAAAAGTCTTACCCCAAAATGGAAACATACACTGCAAGATTAGAAGAGGCAATAAAAAGCACCAGGCACTAAAAACAACAAAATAAATTCAATGCAAAAGGTCCCCATTCAGCAAATGCTACGTAAGTTACGGCCTTTGTGTAGACAGTGCTAAATCAAGGACGCGTGAGCAGAAAATTCTGTAGTATTTTTATCCAGGGCTTGATTTATAAAGAGAAGGCATAAAGTTACCATGACTAAGTAACTCGTAAATGGCACACAGGTTTTTAAAGCTATTTGTTTTTCCTTCCTAACTCTCTGAATCTTTCCCATGGCCTTTGCAAATCAACCATCTCAAAGCCGCTTTGTACCACTAACTCCCAACACACTTATCTTTCAGATATGTCATCAGTCACGGCTGAAAGGCAGGTGGCAAAATAACAGATTTGTAACAAACAATCCTAAACTAGCTAGTGGAACATTTACTTTGGAATCTGTGTAACTGAAAGCTGACATACCTGTAAAGCTAAAACTCCATTTTAACACATGATTAACAGAAATTCTCACCATGCTCATTACCCTAACTCTTGCCCTTTCAATCACCCGAGAAGCATCGCCAACCCCGTGAGAGCTTGATTCAACAGTCCAGGAAGAAAGGGTCAGAAGGCACAACGTGACCTTGGCTGACAAGGTGAGCAACCCTGTCTCAAGTCTCTGTCAGTCCCGGCATGGATTATAACATTATTTTCAAAATAAAAAAAATCCTTAAAAATTATACATACTATACATTTTCAAAGCCTGCACCGCGTAAGACCATGGAGCTCCTTGGCTGTGACTGTGAAAACAGCCCCGTCAGTGCTGAGTCGGCAGGGTGCTCATTTTCCCTCATACTTGGGGTTGACCACAGTTGTCACAGCACTCTTATAAATAGGATTTTCACCCTAAAAAAAAAAAAAAATTACAGTGCTATAAAATCATGTAGTATTATTTTGCAAGTCAAGACAGTGTTAGTCATTTTAAGAAGTCGTTTCTATTTTATCCATCCAGATAGCACAGAGAATGACATGGAAGCTGTGTGCTGCCGGTTCTGCTCACTGAGTCCTTCCTGCAGAGGCTGCCTGGGCAACGCCCTCCTTCCACGGCAGCCAACGCACAGCAACCGGGACCCCTCCTCTCTGTGGAAGCATCAGTTCTGCCCAACTCTGAACCCCCTGCTGGATACAAAGGTGCCTGATCAAGGAGGGATTCTTAGCTTCCCCTGTGGTAAGGGAGCCACGCGTCCCACTGCCAGGAGCTATGCTCAGGACACAACTGCTATCCCTCAGCATCACAGGAGACATGCCTAATGCAATGCTGGACTCCGGGAAGGAGAACTACAATCAAGCCTCAAGCCAACCACACAAGTGACTCCAGGCCATAAACTGAAGACATCTTTCGGGCCAGCGCTGTGGCATAACAATTAAAGCTGCTGCCTGCATTCTGCCATCCCACATGGGTGCCGGTTCAAGTCTCGGCTGCTCCACTTCCGATCCAGCTCTCTGCTATGGCCTGGGAAAGCAGTGGAAGATGGCCCAAGTCCCTGGGCCCCTACACCCACTTCAGATCGGCGCAGCTCCAGCCACTGCAGCCAGTGAGGGAGTTGACCAGTGGATGGAAGACCACGCTGTCTCTCTGCCTCTCTTTGTCCGTGTAACTCTTTCAAATAAATCTTTAAAAAAGACATTTTCTTTTTTTTTTTTTAATTTTTTATTTATTTATTTATTTTTTGACAGGCAGAGTGGACAGTGAGAGAGAGACAGAGAGAAAGGTCTTCCTTTGCCGTTGGTTCACCCTCCAATGGCCGCTGCGGCCGGCGCACCAATCCGATGGCAGGAGCCAGGTATTTATCCTGGTCTCCCATGGGGTGCAGGGCCCAAGCACCTGGGCCATCCTCCACTGCCCAGGAGGGCCACAGCAGAGCTGGCCTGGAAGAGGGGCAACCGGGACAGAATCCAGCGCCCCGACCGGGACTAGAACCCGGTGTGCCGGCACCGCAAGGCGGAGGATTAGCCTAGTGAGCCGTGGCGCTGGCCTAAAAAAGACATTTTCAAAATCCAAAAACACTGCCAGCAATGCTTAAGCAGAAAGCTAACCACCACGATCCTGCTCTCAAAGAGCATACAGTTTGGTGGATGAAAAGACAGGAAAATAAGCACTCTGATATAGAAAAAAGTGACTGACATTAGTGATAACTTCATAGTAAACAGAGATCAAGTCAAGGTGTAGGAAAAAGAATGGCATATTCACATAGAAATTTTTATATTTTAGAAGTTTTTAGGTGTGGAGAGGCAACCAGGCAGGCAGTGCGTGATCATCGAAGAGTCCCACAATGCCGTGCCAGGGTGCAGGACTTGGTGCAGACGGGAAACACGACATCAAGACTGGTGCCTGCAAGACACCAAGCGAACAGCTGAGCCAGCTGTTCCACAAACAGGGCTCAGGATCCCTCCCGGCAGACAGTAAAACTCAACAGAGCATCAAGTCCTGAGCTCCATCACAAGCAGAGCCAGACTCACAGAACTGGGAAACTGGACCCCAGCACTCACGTTCTTACAAGGCCCTGGAGCACCTGAGTGAGACTCCTACGACCTGCACACGGGCCACTACTGCGCATCTTGCAGCTACACTGGGGTAGGAATTTCCTTTAACATGTTACACAAAACTATTTCATACTTAAGAATTGTAAGGGAAGAACAAAAAAACAGAAAATACAGAAAAAACTACCATTGACTGATGAGTCCAAAATAACTTACATTATACTTTGTAGAGTGAAGAAAAACTTACCTTTGGAAAACTGTTTACTTTCTCATATACATACACATTTTTATTATTTCAAAGTCCATCCAAACAAAAGTTTAACATGCAAGGTTAGAGGTAAAAATAAGCTCACTCTTGTATTAGGCATCCCCAGAGATCAACTAAAATAACAGATTAGTCCCCAGCGTCCAGAGTGCAGTCCCGTGGCAGCAACAAGAAGCAACGCTCCCAGGTCAGGAGAGCAAGTCAGGCTCTGAGCTGAAGCCGAAGGAGCCTGAGCACCCCTGCACCGTCTCCGCGCCCACATCCGTCCCTGCTCTCATCAATATCACCATGTCCGCCCCCAGTCCCAGATACGTTCCTCTATCAGTTAACTGACCACCACACCTGGTCCTAAGTAAGAAAAGTGTTTACAATCCATGCTTGTTGTAATTTCTTGATTAGTGGCTCACCACTTACTTTCTACTTAATTTTTCTCAGAGAACATCTCGGGAAAATCTGCAGGCAGGGCTAATAATTTGCATGGGCTTCACAAGGGCATTTATGCAAAAGAAATTTTTACCAAACTTTGGCCTCTCGAGTTATATAAAGTGCTTATTTTGGCTGAAGTACCCTTTTAGGTAAAAATTCATTTAACAGTACAGATATCAGGCTTCAGTGATAGCTTCCTTCAAAGTACCACCAAGCACACAGCAAGGGTGAAAGTTTCAGTCCTGCGTAGGATGAACAATGCTTCTCTCATGTGAGAAACGGCCTCACGGGACTGGAACTTCACCGGCTAGTCGATGTTCCTCTAGAAATCATTTCTGGGGCTGGCACTGTGGCATAATGGGTTAAATCACCACCTGTGACATCAGCCATCCCATATGGCCATCTGTGTCCCGGCTGCTCCACTTCTGATCCACCTCCTGCTAATACACCTGGGAAAGCTGCTGCAGCCATCTGGGGAGTAAACCAGAGGAAGGAAGACCTCTCTCTAACTCTGCCTTTCAAATCAATCTTTACAAAAAGTTATTTTATTATTTTCAAAAGTCTTAGGTAACAAAAAATACATCAAGTCTCATACTAAAACATAAATGTGATAGCTAGGGGCTGGTGCGGTGGTGTAGTGAGTAAAGCCAAGTCCCATTTGGGCACCAGTTCAAGTCCTGGCTGTTCCACTTCCGATCCAGCTCCCTGCTGTGGCCTGGGAAAGCAGCAGCAGATGGCCTAAGTCCTTGGGCCCCTGAACCTTTCAAATAAAGAGATCTTTTAAAAAAGTGGGGGGGGGGGGACAACTTGCTCATTTATGAATTTCACTGTTCTGTCATCAAATTTAACTTGAAAAGTCTTAAAACCTGCTTAGAAATCGGAAATCTAACAAGTAATGACTTCTATTACTATAGCTACTTCCTCTATCACTTAAAAATAAGACAAAACCCTGTACTTTAAGCTCTTAGTAATTATCATTGTATAGGTGCACCTCCAAGTGGGTGAGTGGGCACTGGGGCAGTGTCGAATTCTTTGTAATAAACTGACTTCACTGTGACAGTGCTGCCCATGGGGGTACTGTTACTCTACCTAAGTGTCTAAAGAGGGATCTGCCTTTTCCTAAACAGGAGACGGGGTCTCCCGAGGGTTGACGGCTGCCACCAGCACCATGGAATGGGCCAGAGCATGGGCCGCAGAGCTCCACAGACACCATCGTGTGACCTGACCCTTCCGTGCCCCACGCTCTCCCATGTGCAACAGGAACACAGTCCCTACTATTTTTCACCAGGAACATGAACATATGTTAACTGGAAGCATACCCAGTGCCTAAGCTCCCTGCACAAGGATGCAGGAGTGAGAACAGAAGAATCCTCCTCGCCCCTTACCTCCCGTCAGCTGTGACAACAAAGAGGAGTTCTGATCCCCGGGAGCGAACTGGGTTCTAAACACCACTGACCTTTTTATCGAGTCTTAGGAGCTCACACGACTATATTAAAATGTGCCTGGAAGCAGGTCATACAAATTCAGAGACTGGTATCACACACTTGTCTGTATCTACATGCTCTCTGGCCTTTAAAGGAATTTCATGCTACGATCCAGAATTAGACTATCAAAATCTGTCTAGAACCAGTAACAACAGCATCATAGTTGTATACCACATGAACATCACAGCAGTCATGCTTTTTGACTTTGCAATTTGGACTTCCCAGGTCCAACGCTCATTGTTTAACCTTAAACTTTACACACAGAAATGTGTTCTATAAGGATAATATACCAGCTCAGGCACAGGGCTGTTATGAGGATTGTATCTGACACACTGACCTCATATACTGTAGATCATTTACCAAAATCAGCTACCCCCCACAGACCAGAGCGCTAAACCCCTGGGAGGTGCAGAGACTCAAGGCCGTCCCCTTACCAGGTGGAGAGCTGGGCTTTGACCTCAGGCCTGTTTGATGGCAACTACAGCGCAGCTGCAGCTCTCACACGCTAGAACTTATTTGAAAGCCCTTCTAAAAAAGAGTAAGTTGGCCGGTGCCATGGCTCAATAGGCTAATCCTCCACCTAGCGGCGCCGGCACACCGGGTTCTAGTCCCGGTCGGGGTGCCGGATTCTGTCCCGGTTGCCCCTCTTCCAGGCCAGCTCTCTACTGTGGCCCGGGAGTGCAGTGGAGGATGGCCCAAGTGCTTGGGCCCTGCACCCCATGGGAGACCAGGAGAAGCACCTGGCTCCTGCCATCGGATCAGCGCGGTGCGCCAGCCACAGTGCGCCAGCCGTGGCGGCCATTGGGGGGTGAACCAACGGCAAAGGAAGACCTTTCTCTCTGTCTCTCTCTCTCACTATCCACTCTGCCTGTCAAAAAAAAAAAAAAAAGAGTAAGTTAATACACAGAAAGAAAAGCCAGAATTTAGACACATAAATAAAGCTGGACTTAAAGCAAAACACAGCAACAGTGATAAAGGGCACCCAGTGCAGCAGAAAGGGCAAAAGCTCCCATGCAGGCAGAAAGGGAAAGGAGATACCAACGGCACTCAGGGACCAGCTCTACGTCCATAGTTTGGATTCTTGAAATTATTAATAGGGCTCTTGTAAATCGGATTTTCTTGCTAAAGTAAAAGAAACAGTTTCTAATGATTTCATCAGAAAGAAACATGGACATTCGTGGAGTTTAAATACTATAGAGAAATTTCACCATTTCTGTGCCTCTGAAATTGATAATTTCTTAAACATCCAAGCAAACTGTAGTGATGCCAATGACTACAATTCATTTACATTTAAATATACTGCCACAGCCTTCTCACATCAAAAGAGGAAGACACAGGGAGCAGCGTGTGACCACCCCAGCCTCTGACTCCCTGTCTGCAGTGAGCACCAGCATGAACCTTCACACTCAGAGCTAATTATAAAGCCAGTTGCTAAGACAGCACTTTTGCACAGGGTAAAATGTACCTTTCTGAGACCCCAGAGTTTGAAAATGATTCCACACACCCACAAGCAAGCTCGCCCCCAAGGAGACCCCTTGTGCCCTCTGTGGCCGAGCCTTTCCCCCAGCTACCCTTAGCAACCACTGGTCTGCCTTCTGTCCCTACAGTCTTGTCTCTTCCAAAACAGCGTGGAAACAGGGTCACACACTGTCGCTGCTGAGTCTCACTGCTTTCCACCTCAAGTCCTCTGTCTGACAGGAAGAAGCACTCTCATGAATAGCTCGCTACGCACTGACACTCTCTAGGGTTCCCTATCAGACGAAACAGCAGATTTAAGATCAAAACTAGTACAGAATGAAAACCACTGGCCACAGTAAGGAGAAAACCCGTTCTTACAAGGTTTTGACTTACAGGGACGTATTTAGGATGCTTTCTGTCTCTCGTTAAATGCAAACTATTTGAATAATAAACTTGTGGGAAACAAATACTCCAAGAGGACTTCCACAGGCAGTCTCAGAGCTAGGGAGCAAGTCCTGCAGTGTTCTGTGTAGTGCACAGGCAACCCTGTTATTTAGATGTTTTGCAACTTACCGTGTCCCATTTGGCATTCATTTTCTCCTTTTCAAATTTAGCAAATTCCCTTCTGTCATGAATGATCATCAAGAGCTTCCAAATCAGCAGCAGTGCAAGGCCAATAAGAACAATGCCAGCCACCACACCAGCGACAATTGGAATGATGTCAGGACCAGTGGGGCACTCTGCGAAGTATCAAAGGGGGAGTGAGCACACACACAGGTCCACCAGGAGCACAGCCCATCCACACCCAGGCAGCACTTCTGCATCTGGTCACCATCACCCAGGAACCACAAGGACCTACCCCAAAGCCACTAAGTGGGTGTACAAGGCTGCAGCATAGATGATCAAGAAACAAAAGTCCTATATAAAATGTATTTCTACATATTAAAAACTGCAATTTTTAAAAAGTATCATTTATAGTATCCTCAAAATCATGAAGGTCTTATGTGTTAATCTCACGTGTAAGCTCCTGGCTCCTGGCTTCAGCCTGGCCCAGCCCTGGCCATTAAGGCCATTTGGGGAATGAACCAGCAGACGGAAGATCTTTCTATGTGTCTGTCTCTCCATCTCTCTCTGTAACTCTGCATTTCAAATAAATAAATCTCAGAAAGGGAAAAAAAAAAACTTGAAGACTTAATACTGTCATATTTAATAATTCTTCCCAATTTGATCTATAAACTCAATGCATTCCCAATCAAAAACCTGGCAAGATTTTTATAGAAATCAGCATACTCAGCCAGTGCTGTGGCTCACTAGGCTAATTCTCCACCTGCAACGCCGGTACTCCAGGTTCTAGTTCCGGTCGCTCCTCTTCCAGTCCAGCTCTCTGCTGTGGCCCGGGAGTGCAGTGGAGGATGGCCCAAGTGCTTGGGCCCTGCACCCGCATGGGACACCAGGAAGAAGCACCTGGCTCCTGGCTTCAGATCGGCACAGTGCGCCGGCCGTACTGTGGTTCCCTCTGAACCAACAGAGGGAAGACCTTTCTCTCTCTTTCTCTCTCTCACTGTCTAAATCTGCCAGTCCAAAAAAAAAAAAAAAAAATCAGCATACTAATTCTAAAATGTATACAGAAAGTGAAGAACTAGGTAAGAGTTTCAAAACTTTTTGGAAGAGCACAAAGTTGGAGGACTCACATGACCTATTTTCAAGGCTGGATAGGCCGGCACCGCGGCTCACTAGGCTAATCCTCCGCCTAGCAGCGCCGGCACACCGGGTTCTAGTCCCGGTCGGGGTGCCGGATTCTGTCCCGGTTGCCCCTCTTCCAGGCCAGCCCTCTGCTGTGGCCAGGGAGTGCAGTGGAGGATGGCCCAGGTGCTTGGGCCCTGCACCCCATGGGAGACCAGGAAAAGCACCTGGCTCCTGGCTCCTGCCATCGGATCAGCGCGGTGCGCCGGCCGTAGCACGCCGGCCGTAGCACGCCGGCCGCGGCGGCCATTGGAGGGTGAACCAACGGCAAAGGAAGACCTTTCTCTCTGTCTCTCTCTCTCACTGTCCACTCTGCCTGTCAAAAAAAAAAGACTGGATAGAAAGCTACCAATGTATGGCATGGCTCCAGCACACAGGCAGAGACAACAAAAAAACAGTCCTACCCATGCACAAAGGCGGGGAAAGACAGTGTTTCCAACCAACAGAAGCCACTCCCCATGCTAAGATACAATCTAATACCTAAGCTGTTCTTAGACACAACAGTAACAGAAGATCCAGGAAAAAAAACCTTGGTCGACAATTCGTCACAATCCAACTTCTGGTGTTCAACAGACACTGCCGAAGAACAACAGTGGGCAGCACTTGCCAGCGGCTGTCTGATAATGCAGAAGAGGACACTGACCTCAGAACCACTGGGCAGCTTCTCACCAAGTTCAACACAGGCTTGCCACCTGCTCCAAAGTCCCATTCCCACATTTACTTGAGAGCAACAGGACTTGTGTGCACAAAAACCTGCATACTCATGAGAAAAATTCCCAAGAATCTATTAAAAAAAGCTACTAGAAAAGCCAATAAAAAATGTTCCATTGGCTGAGACCTTGAACAAATTCAATACTTTATTATATCCTTTCACAAATTATCCTCCTCAGTATCCAAGCCCAAATTAAACTCTAATCTAAACGTCCCCAATGACGACATAACTCTTATCCCGCATGTCCTACATGCCTTGTATCACTTCTCACTTTTAATCTGCATATTCCCTACTGAGCAAACCTAAACCCTCTCTTCTCCTGCTTCTTCTCCAGTTAATTAACTACTACTCTAAGCTGTAAGAGATGAGAAATTGCCCAGCTTGGACCTGGACAGTCCAGCTGACGCTGTTTCTTGGTGTCAGGGAATCTGACGAGGCCTAACCAGGACGGACACAGGCGAGGACAGGGTTCCTGACCTGGAGTCTCCACGACGTGCACGATGGCCTCGTTGTTCCCGTTCACCGAGTACGTGAAGTAGAACCAGCAGTCGTCCACATCCTTCTCCTTACAGTGGGACAGGGGGTCCACCTGGCCTGGCTGGGGCAGCTTGTCCCGATTTTCCACCTTGGTGATGTTGAAATGTGAGCATTCCTGTGCACATTTGTCTTTCTTTTCTCCTTTATTGAAGGCTCGGCACTGGACACATTCTCTGAGGATACAAACCGCTGCATTACACATGTGCTGTTTAAAAGGTCAACATTTTCTTAAACATTAACCTTGCGTGCTAAACTCTGGTGACTGAATTCAACTAGGAGCTACAAAAGAACTGCAGAGGCATGCTATTCCTCAATGGGAAACCACATCGGAAGATGACAGTCTCTGGGAGTGGGCATTTAGCCTAGTGGTTAAGGCACCCACACTGGAATAGGTGAGTTTGATTCCCAGCCCCAGATCCTGACTCCAGTTTCTCCCAACACCGACCCTGGCAGGCAGCCATGATGCCCCAAGTATGTGGCTTCCTGTCACCCATGTCTGAGACTTGGAAAACATTCCCAGTTCCTGTGTTCAACACAGCTTAGTCCTACCCACTGCGGGCATCTGGGTTGCTCTCTCTCAAATTAATAAGAACTTTTAAAAAGACTGGTAGTTTCCCCAATGAAATTATAAATTCATTAAAGTTCAAGCTGAAAATGCAATTAAAAAAAGGTAATAAAACTAGCCCTGTGACATAGTAAGTATGTAACACAAGACCAAAGTAACCTAAGTAGTGTGTTACTGGGACAATAGTGATGCTTCAAGGGGAAAGCCTTCCATTTGGCCAAGTCAGAAGATAGTACATCAGGGGCCAGCACTATGGCCATTTGGCCAAGTCAGAAGATAGTACATCAGGGGCCAGCACTATGGCGTAGTGGGTAAAGCAAGCCACCACCTGCAGTGCTGGCACCCGTTCAAGTCCTAGCTGCTCCTCTTAGATCCATCTCTCTGCTGTGGCCTGGGAAAGCAGTAGAAGATGGCCAAGTCCTTGGGCCCCTGCACCCACGTGGGAGACCCAGAAGCTCCAGGCTCCTGGCTTCAGATCGGCCCAGCTCCAGCCATTGCGGCCATTTGGAGAGTGAACCAACAGATGGAAGATCAATCTCTCTCTCTGCCTTTCAAATCAATCAATCAATAAACTTTAAAAAAAAAGTATTTCAGCAATTTAACAAAGGTAACAATAGATTTAATTACATAGTAAACTTGAATCAAAATAATCTTACAACTCTAACACACTTCAATATCCTGTAACGGGCACTAGCTAATAAGAAAGAGTTTTCACGAATTAAAGAGTGGGTTTCCACATGGCAGACACTGTATTTATAGCATGCTCAACAGGGGCCCTGCTCCAGTTCTGGTGATCACACACAGTTAAGCATCAACGCCTTCAAATAATTAGGAGATACGTACTTGTGCTCCGCACAGACACCCAGGCAGGTCTGGCACATCTCACAGGTTTGCCCTTGAAACTTGGGATCTGTACACTTGCAGACGCCACACTCGCAGATACCCCGGCCATTACAGATCTGCCCGTTTGTGGCCATGCAAGACGTCGTATCCAGAGAACAGTCGCACGCACTGCCGGTGTAGTTAGGATTGCACTCACACACACGACACTTGCAAACACCATTTCCTGCGATTAAAAATACCATGTCACAAACTAGGATTAAAAACATACAATCACAGCACTGACTCAGAAGTAAAAGGGAGTCACAATATGGAAGGAGTGGGTCCAAGGGACGGACTGAGCCCTCTAATTCCTCGAGACTTTTTGTCACTCCAGTGGGATCACTTCACATCTCAGACCCTTTCCTCACCTCCACAAATTAAGCCATTGGAGCGATCACAGTTGAAATTATCACACTCGCAGAATTTGCCAGAATAGATTTCATTTGTGTTGTCCCTCTTCCTGCACACACACTGCCCACAGACGCACTCCCCGTTGTTGCTGCAGATTTCTGAACTGTTTTCTTTCCTGCAGTAAGCATCCATGTCTTCACTGTTCACCTCATCTGTACTGCATTCACAGTGTCTGCCTACACGTCCCTCGTTGCACCTGAACAAAGATTCCAAAATTGCACTTGCATAAAATAAAAATAACCTACAATCGCAAACCATGGGAGAGGCAACGAAACTATGAACAGTCTCTTCATGCTGCAAATAATAAATAGAAAAATATCTGGAGAAACAGAATAAACTTAATTGTAAATATGGTAGCTGTAATTTCAAATGATGTGCTATTACAATTGTAACTACATGAACTATGGCCCCATTGTAACCTTAAAAGTACAAGAAACATATGCAAGAAAGAGCAAGAAGCTGAATAAAAATGAACAGAGCACTGACTGAAAATATAGTATGCTGTTTAAAAACAAACTTATCCCACTGGCCCAGACTTTTCAGATGCCATGTACATTTCTAGAACAACTTATGCTCATGGACACTGCAAGCTGATTCTACATATACAGAAAGGGACGAAAGAGATGGCATTTTCAGGGCATTTTCAAGGCATTTTCGTTGAATGATGTCTCACTAAAAACAGATCTGCATGACTCCAAGAGGGTATGTACAACATGGAAAGAGAGAACTGTAACATCTGAACTTCTGTAGGACAGCCAGTTGGTGTCACTGACAGTGAAGACGGCACATGTCTTCCTCGTGGTTAACACCCTGCTGGCCCAGTCATCTGCAGTCGACATCTAGATCAAATGTCCCAGTCTCCTTTAAAGAGAAAACTATGTTCGGAATATACTGAGTTTTAATTTTTAATTTAAAAAGTAACCAAAGTGTGAAAATATTTGAAATACTTGGACTAAAGTTATTAGTAGTATATTCTATGTTCTGAAAAATAACTTGCTTTTTAATTTTACAACACATACTTATTTTTAAGAAATCATTCCAACAATGTGGAAGGTGGACATACTTGAAGGCTTCCCAATTCTGTTTCCCAGAGAAAGCCACCACTATCGGTTTCACGTTTTTCCAAAAACATGTTTCAATGCTATTTCCAAAATTTTACATAAACTTACTCTGCTCTACAAAGGTTGCACTTCTATCTCATGACAGAAAAACCAAGTGCTGTCGTAACAGTTTGCTGGATACACAGCTTGAGAGACTGCGCAGTCTCATTTTAAAGAGCAGTCTTGTTAAGAGACAGGTGAGAGAGCTCTCTGTAAATACCACACACAAGACCATCAAATTCATCGTGTGGTGAGCAACAGTGCCCGGGACAAATCATGTCTCTGCTCCAAGCGGAGATCTTCTGTGGCTGTCCTGACACACAGCCTGCCCCTCGCTCTCCAGGCAGTGCACATCTGGGCACACTCCAACAGTCCTGGCTCACCTGCAAGCCCCACACTCAAACGTGCCATTCCCATCGTGGCACTGGGGACTTCTTGGGATGCCTGTGTCCTGGCACTCACACTTGCAGATGAACTCAAGGACCACCTCCACCTCCTCGGTGAAGCCCAGAGGCTTGATTTTAATGGTTTCAGAATGCTTAACTGGACACTGATTTGAAGTTATGCTGATTTCAAAGTGAACCTTGAAGGAAAAAAGCAAGATTAAGTGAACAATAAGCTAAGCAACATGAATCTGCTAAAAACTATCTCAAAAACCCACTCATTTCTTTTTAGTATGTTTCAAATCATGAACTGCATTTGCTTATAAATAAGCAATACCTCATCTCCAATGGAGATATTGGAGCACTTCCTTCCGTTCTCCCCTGTGCCATTCACCCCGTTCTTGCAGTAAGATTTGTAATTTATCGTTACTCCTTCTGGCAATTTGCTGTTTTCCAAAATGACTTCTGAAGAAAGGGACTAAAAGAAAGACTAATTATACACAAGAAAGTTGAAATGCTCCTGGGATGCATAAGATGACCAGTCAAGACAGTATTGTAAAGTCTTACAAAACACAAACAGGCACTGGTTAATAAGGGTCTCATCTGTAGAACCACCTACATGGTTGAAAGGGCATTCTGTTCCTACAACGAGGTAAAACAGCAAGGATCGTGCAGTCCCAAGGCCTGATACTGACGAGGAGGAGTGTGTTCCTTACCCCCTGGGCAAAGTCTCCAGGTCCTCAACTCACTATGGCCAAGGCACTCTACTGCGCAGTCTGGGAGCGACTGTGCTTGGAAGCCACTGTAAGCCTGGCCAGCAAAGACTAAAAACTCTTAAGGGGGAAAGACTCAAGCTAGTGCGGGCAGTCAGCCTAGAGGTTAATAATGATGCCCACACCCTACAAGTGGGTTTGAGGATGGCCTCTGGCTTCTGATTCCAACCTCCTGCCAATGCAGACCCAGGTGTGCGGCAGTGCTAGCTTCCTGCCAACCATGTGGGACACCGAGTTCTCTGCTCCCAGCTTCAGCCCAGCACAGTCCCAGCCTTGTGGACATCTGGGGAGTGAACCAGTAGATGGGAGTTCTGTCTGTATATAAACGAACATTTTGTAAAAACTCCGACCTCTCAGAACAATGAGGGCTGCAGTAGCAAACTACCTGTTGCTCACACTCTTAATAAAGATCAAAGTTGGGAAAACAGTCTGTTGAGAAAAAACAGCTGGGGGAAGACAAAGGAACTACTGGAATCTTCAAAGTTGCTGGGTGGCATCCGCCCTACTGGTTACAACACTAACTAGGATGCCCACGACCCACACCACATGCCTGGGTTTGACTGCCAGCTGGCCAGTTCCTGATTCCAACTCTAGGAGACAGCAGTAATGACTGAAGTCGCTGGGTTCCTGCCACCAACATGGGAGACCTGGATTGAGTTTCCAGCCCCAGCTTTGGCCCCCGAGCCCTTATGGGTATTAAGGGTGTTAACCAACAAATGGAAACTCTCAAAAAAAAAGTTAAAAAACAAAGCCCAGTCCATCTTTCTGACTCAGCTCTTTCCAAAACATTTTTAGACTCCCACTGCAAAAAAACATCAAAAATTTAACCAACCAAAGGGTGAGTGGGGTGAAAGTATACAGTGCATTTCCAAACCACTGCTAAGCAGTGCTTCCTGAGAGCCATTAACGGTTTTCTGAATTGAGATCTAGAGAGAGCACAGTTCCTCTCTGACTTCACCTCACCTGCACATGTGCAGAAAAAACAATCCTATAAGCCTGTTAAAATAATCAAGCTGCAGACAAGTACATGTTTACAGTTTACGCATTCTATGCTGTATGTAGCGATGAATGTGTGTACTCCCCCCTAAAAACAGAAAACATGTTCTCTGAATGTGTGGAAGGAAAGAAACAGCCGAAAAGCTTTTCTACCACAATTCACCAAAATAGAAGAATCTATAAAGAACACTTTGGAGGGAGAGGATGGCTGGGCCCCTACAGATCAGACGTCAGTTACACATCACACCTGCTTTGTTTCCCCACAGGGACATCTCACTTGGTGATGTACAGACTTGAGGTTTTCCCACATGGCTCTGTCACGTTTTTGCTTTGTTTAGACTATGCTTCTCTGAGACAATATCAAGTTTTCCCCCAGATACAGCACATAAGTTGTGTGTTATCCTCTGGGCTTCCCAGCCTGTGTTCTAAGGAGTTTCACCCTCACAGGGCACTGTCAGAGCTGCTCTGATCCACAGGCACTCACGTTGTAGGCATCAATGATCAGCTGGATGACATTGCTGGAGTTTGCAGACAACGTTCCCACTGCTGACTTAGGGATCAAGTTTTTCAGTTCCTGCAATTAAAAGACAAAGCATGTCAAATACTATTCATCAACCAGGTAGCACTTACTGAACAAGCAACCTGCATCTTTAAACACTCATTCCCTATACATTTCCTAAATAACTTCGGGAGTCAAACCTGAAAAAGACGAGTTTTATGATGTGATTAAAATTAACATCAACCTCTTTTGTAAAATTCAGTCTGCCTGGGCTTGCACTGTGGTACAGCAGGTTAAAGCCCCAGCCTGTGGCACCAGCATTCCATATAGGCACCGGTTTGAGCCCCAGCTGCTCCACTTCTGATCCAGCTCCCTGCTAATGCACCTAGGAAAGCAGTGCAAGACAGCCCAAGTGCTTGGGCCCCTGCACCCACGTGGGAGACCCAGAAGAAGCTCCTGGCTCCTGGCTTCAGATCAGCTCAGCTCCGGCCGTTTTAGCCATTTGGGGAGTGAACCAGGGATGGAAGACCTCCCTCCCTCCCTCTCTCCCCACCTCTCCCCCTCCCTCTCTCTCTACCTCTCTCTGTCTCTACCCATCTCTGTAACTCTGACCTTCAAATAAATCTTTTTAAAGGAAAAATTCAGTCTGCCTACCTAGTGGCTTCTTCCTACACTTTAATTCATAAATGCTTTTTACCTCTAATGACAACAACAACAAAAATCCTAGCACTTTGTTTTTTTTTTTTTTCTTATTTCACACATACCTTGTAAACAGGCTGAAATTCTTCAGTAACTGCAAAAATAGTCTGAATGTTATTTTCACTGAGTTTCTGGACGAGGTGGGCAATAGAAGGGTAGTCCTAAGAAATCAAGAGACACAGTTTAGTGCACAGGTCCTCCTTCCACTCTGCTCTGTGAAAAACCCAATACCTGCACAGGTGACAGTGCGGGTGGTAGGTCAGCTGAGGGTTCCCCATGCTGCCCCCTCTACTTGCCTGTACATATGAAAACCTCCACACCGAAAAGGTCTTAAACAACCAGACAATCTGTGTATACTGAGCTGTCAGGAATCTGCTATCTGTCACTTCAGATAAAGAACAAAATTCAACATTTGGATTTCTTCTAGAATTTGAATAATTTGCCTTTTTTTTTTTTCCAATAAAGGCAGGTGCCTGCTTCTAAAAACCACCTAAGATTAAACACTGCAAGACTTGTTTAGAAGCACCATTGACTTTACTACCCAGTGTATGGCAGTGAGCAGACAGCTGTGGGTGAGGCAGGGGCTGAAGTGGTGTCTGAGACAGCCCCCACCACCTCCAGCAAGGCCCTCAGCTACACGGAGGAAGCAGATACAAAGCCACACACTCCAGACAGCAGCTCTAGCATTTCTGCACATTAGGTCACAATACAACCAAGAAACACCCAATCAGGTCACAACACAAGCCTGAGAAACACACAAGGCAGTCACTCCCAAGGCTGGCAAGCTAAGAACTGCCCCATTCACCGTGCGAAGAACTAGCACTTACGTAATAGTGGCTCATGGTGTACTCGTTGTGTTCCAGGTGGCACTGTCCATCGTTGGGTAAGACAATACCACCAAGTTTCCCGTCCCCAGCAAAGTGGAACCCCGCGTCCGTGGAGAACACCAGCAGCCGAGTGACGTTCCTCCAGCCGATCAGCGACTTCAAGGGAAGAGCCAGCTTCAGACAGTGCTCACAGGGCCACGACACAGACCTGAGTTTCACGTACTGTCTGCCTGACTCTGCGTCTCCTCCACTCACAATGCTGCCCACTGAGTGACCTCTTCCACCCCAGTGTAAATTCTGCCTGCCTGGCTGTCCCAGCCTCTCGGTGCCTTATAAAAACTGGCTTTGGTTTTGTTCATCCTCGTGGCTCCAGCACCTGGCACTGGGCTTGGCACACAGTAGGTGTTCCCGGAGTATTTGCTGAGCGAGTGGAAGCACTTCAGCCCGAACCTTCCTGCACACTAGTGCTGCCACGCTGGACCCGTGCTAGGCTCCGTCCTCCACCACCTGCTCCTTGCGGCCTCCATATTAGGCCTTCCTCTTCCTTCACAGATAAATTTAACGATCCGAGGACTTACCTGCTTAATCCCACCCACTCAATTCATCAATCAGTACTGTTTATGTGTTCATTTATTTTATTCTCTATCTACTTCAATAAAAACGTTGAAAGGCTGTCTACCACAACTTTGTAATTATGTTTGCTTCGGGTTACTCAATACAACTGTTTAAACCTTCATAATAAGTCCACACGGGTGGCATCAAGTGTATTAGTGCTAGAAGCCTATCTCCTTTACACCTAGGGAAGTGGAACGCACGGCGAACACAGGTAGACAGCCACAACCATGTGGGTCTAGGCTTCAATCCCTACAGGTTAGAGCATAGTTACAAAGCTGCTCAAACCAATGTTCGGAAACCAAAGTGAGAAAGCCAGACACCAACCAAAATTCTATTTTCTGCATCTTTAAAAGCAGAGACTAACTTTAAATCACAACCAAAAGTAACAATTTAGCAGCTGGCATTTTTTGAGTGTTCACTGATACTTTATAATAATCACTGTATTTAAAAGTTACAGCAGCCCTAGCCAGACTAAATGAACTGCCTAGGATCAGTGGTAGTGAGATACTTTTACCATACCATATTGCTCACTTATCTTCGACACCAATTAGACCTTAGCAAAAATTCATTGAAAAATAACCGTTATGAGGCATCTGGGGGCACATGCTGTGGCACAGCAGTTAACGCTGCTGCCTGAGATGGCCATATCCCATACCAGAGTCCCAGCTTCTCCCCTTCCAACCCAGCTTGCTGCTGATGCAAACTCCGGAAGCCGGCAGGTGAGGACCAAGTGTTTGGTTCTCTGACACCCAATGTGGGAGAGCTGGTTAGAATTCCAGGCTCCTGGCATCAGCTCAGCCCAGCCCTGGCTGTCGCGGGCGTCTGCGGAGTCCACCAGTGGATGGCAGATCTCTTTCTCTCTGTGTGTCTCCCTCTCTCCCTGTTGCTCTGCCTTTCAAATAATAAATGGAAAGGAGGGAGGGGGGTGGGAAGCGAGGGAGGAAAGAAGGGGGCACCAGGAATCCGGGAAGGTCTTCCAGGAAACAGGCGTAATCCAAGGAGAAAAACTGAGACAACAAGCACTCAAAAAAACTGTGTCCACCTCCCAGTGTTTTCCACTCTCAGCCTCATGTCAAAACACTCAGTGGGGGCACAAAATGCAGTAACTGAACCAGGGTATGTGAGCTTGCTCCACAGAGAACCTCGTCATTGGAAATGCCATCTTACTTTTTTTTTTTTTTTTTTTTTTGACAGGCACAGTGGACAGTGAGAAAGAGAGACAGAGAGAAAGGTCTTCTTTTTCCGTTGGTTCACCCTCCAATGGCCGCTACTGCCAGCACCGCGCTGATCCGAAGGCAGGAGCCAGGTGCTTCTCCTGGTCTCCCATGGGGTGCAGGGCCCAAGCACCTGGGCCATCCTCCACTGCACTCCCTGGCCACAGCAGAGAGCTGGCCTGGAAGAGGGGCAACCGGGACAGAATCCGGTGCCCCGACCGGGACTAGAACCTGGTGTGCTGGCGCTGCAAGGCGGAGGATTAGCCTAGTGAGCCGCGGCGCCGGCCATGCCATCTTACTTCTAAAACGCATGTTCTCATCCGGCTCACCGACCAGGGCTTACAAAGGTCTGTCTTTCTGAGATCTGCGAGGGCTGAAAGGCTCTCAGAGCAGCAAGCATCAGCAAGCAAGCAAAGGAAGCCGGCAGGACCCTCCGCAGCTCAGTCCTCTCGTGGCCCCTGGGAAGCCGGCAGGACCCTCCTGCAGCTCAGTCCTCTCGTGGCCCCTGGGAAGCCGGCAGGACCCTCCTGCAGCTCAGTCCTCTCGTGGCCCCTGGGAAGCCGGCAGGACCCTCCTGCAGCTCAGTCCTCTCGTGGCCCCTGGGAAGCCGGCAGGACCCTCCTGCAGCTCAGTCCTCTCGTGGCCCCTGTGATACATCAGACAGCACCAGTCCCTCTCCATCTGCCGAAACCCAGAGCACCAGCCAAGACAGCTGTGCACCCCGCCTTTCAGAGGCCTGCAGGAACAAGCTGAAGTCAATGCTTGCTTTCATAGGGACCTAATGATTAAATGTGCTTTGTAAACCACTTATAGCTGAAAAAATAAAGGCTTACAGCTGAAGAGAATTTAAAGGATTACTATTTGTATGTTGCTGGGATAAGTAAGTGTATGATAATTAAGGTCACTTTTTCTACTGACAGCAAAATCACACTTAATATTTACACAAGTGACACCAGCGACACCCCCTTGTAAAACACAAATGCGCTCACCCCACAGACCGCAACCTGCATGATTGCATCAAAACCACCTTCCGGAGAATCCAAATTTCCAGAAATGCGCTGCTTCCCGACGAGCTCGTTGAACTCCTCCCCTCTGTCTGTGAGGCTGAGCACGTTCTTGTAGCTGAAGGGGCTGGTGCAGTTCTGCTCACTCGTGCAAGGGTTCTTGAGCTTGGCAGGCGTAGTGCTAATGTAAGGCATCACGGTTTTCTCCACAAAGGAGCCAAACCCTAGGACAGACAGAGAAATGGGCAGTAATTCTCCCTATACAGGAAGGTGCTACAGACTTGATGTCTGTCTCAGGGAAAGCCTGATCCCCAGCCTGATGCAAACAGGAAGCAGAGCCCTTGCAGCTGGGACTGGTGGCCGCCCCTCTGCCCTCGTGAGGACCCAGCTAAACGGCTCCATCTTCCAGCCACAGGGCAGGCCCTCCCCAGATGGAATCTGCCCTGACCCTGGACTGCTTGGCCTCCTGAAATGTGAGTGATGCATTCCTGTGGTTTGTGAGCTGTCTGGTTCCAGCTGCCCAGCAGGACTGAGCTGTACATCCATCTTCTGCCTACCCACTTTAAAAATAATGAGCATTGGTGCCAGCACTGGGGCTAAATAGGTTAAGCTGCGCCCACAGTGCCAGCATTCTACATGGGCACCAGTTGGAGTCTCAGCTGCTCTACTTCCAGTGCAGCCTCCCTGCTAATGTACCTGGGAAAGCAGTGGAAGATGCCCAAGTGCTTGTGTCCCTGCACCCATGTGGGAGACCCAGAGGAAGCTCCTGGTTTTGGTCTGGCCCAGCTGTGGCTGGTGCAGCCATCTGGGGAGTGAACCAGTGGATAGAAGACCTCTCTCTATGTATGTATGTATCTATCTCTAACTCTGCCTTTCAAATAAATTAAATCTTTAGAAAAATAAAATAAAAATAATGAACACTGACTTTCTTAGTATCCTCAGTTCTCCACAGTGCCACGTTGGATGGATGGATGAATAAATGAATGTTCTGGAATTCTGACCACTTCAAAAAGACTACCTTGCTTAAGAACTTACTATTTCCATGGTCCCTGAACTGTGCCTACTGAATACAATGGCACTTTAAGTTTTTCAAGGTTTCTTCTAAAACAGAGTTAATTTTTAAAAGGCAGCTTTTTGGCCACAAGGAGGCTGTCCAGTTTCTCCAGCACTCTGCTGCAACACCTTGGGTGCGGCAGGAGCAGGAGACAGCCGGCGACGAGCAGGCAAGCCTGGAGATGCACAGGACAGGAAAGGAAGGGTGGAAAGCAGAACATCACAGCATGGCAAACTGGGTCTGAGTGAGACAAGGCCGTACCCGCGGGTGGACATGAGTGGGTGAACTGTGAGGACAGGCACGACTTCTTCATCTGTGCTGAGCACACAGGGATACAGGAGCCCAGAGGCAGAGCGCCTGTTACACAGATGATGTTTCCTCTCAGAAGGGAAGAGCTAAAAACTGGCCTGGAGAACAAAGAAGGAAAACTACTAATTTTCCCAACATTCCTACCAATTCGGAAGTCTGAAGTCACCCTCCTCATCTCATTCATCAGATCCGTCCCGAGACTCTTGACGTTCTCCAGATCATCTTTCATGGAGTAGGAGAGGTCCATGAGGTAGTAGAGGTCGATGGGGTAGTCTTCAGCACGCTTGAACTTCAACGTGAACGTCTGGGGCTCCCCTAGCCAAACGGGTCAGAAAAGATGTTAGCAAGCCAAGAACCAAGAACAAGTGAGAAAACCAAATGGATCTGATTTACAGGGCCAACAATGCAAGATGAAATGCACTGTCATAAACTTAACAAAACTCACTGGGTCTATACTCAATTTCATTCAACCAATACTTGACACTCCAGACCTCGGGGTGAAAAAGACAACATGCCGGCCAGCACCACGGCTCAATAGGCTAATCCTCCACCTGCGGCGCCGGCACACCGGGTTCTAGTCCCGGTCGGGGCACCGGATTCTGTCCCGGTTGCCCCTCTTCCAGGCCAGCTCTCTGCTGTGGCCCAGGAAGGCAGTGGAGGATGGGCCAAGTGCTTGGGCCCTGCACCCCATGGGAGACCAGGAGAAGCACCTGGCTCCTGCCTTCGGATCGGCGCAGTGCTGGCAGTAGCGGCCATTAGGGGGGTGAACCAACGGAAAAGGAAGACCTTTCTCTCTGTCTCTCTCTCTCACTGTCCACTCTGCCTGTCAAAAAATAAAAAAAAAAAATTAAAAAAATAAAAAGGCAACATGCCCAACCTACACTAGGTAATCTATGTCTAAATCATCCATTTTTCAACGGTCTTGGGCTGGATAGGTCACAGGGCTGACTCTCATTCTAGAGACTGGCATTCTAAAGGAACTCAGGTCTTGGTCACAGGAAGCCACCACATGAAAGAAAATCACAGAATACGATTTCTGCTTTAGAAAATCTGGGTAAAGTTTTACAATTGGATTATAGAGTCAAAGACCAGTTAAGGAATGATGGAAAATTCAAGGGGAGGTGATGAAGATCTGAATTGAAACAGTGAGGATAGAGAACTGGAGACAGAGTTGTCGGCATACTTCAGTCACGAAACACAGGAGAATGAGAGGTTCAGGTGAAACATGGTTAAAAATCCTGTCTACAGACAGTTCTGGGAGACAGGTCAGAGGAACTGTTTGGAGCTCAACAGAAAAGTTTGTGTTGCTGCAGCTTTTAAATCATGACAGGAAAGCCAAGTTGTAAAGTGGACCACAGAGATGGGGACAGGAAGAGACACAAAAGCCTAGAAACCAACAGTGAAAGCTCAGAGAAGCCAGGAGCACCATCCTGGGTGCAGGAGGGTCAGAACAGACCAGCAGGCGCACGAGCTGTGGTGTCAGCCCAGTGCAGCGGCTGTGCTACAGTGGACTCAGCAGCAGGTGGACTGCACCAGGCTCAGTGTGAGCGCAGGGGCCAGGGTGAGGGGGACCGAGCACCACCACCTCCTGACACAGCACAGGAGTGGGTCACACACTGCCACAGACACTGACCAAGAATAATTTTAAAATACTGCACAAGAAAGGAAACATTACAATGTTGCCTTTATGATAATCGAAAATGAATCTTGATGTGAATGGAACGGGAGAGGGAGCAGGAGATGGGAGGGTTATGGGTGGGTGGGAAGTTATGGGAGGGAAAAGCCATTGTAATCCATAAACTGTACTTTGGAAATTTACATCTACTAAATAAAAGTTAAAAAATAAATAAATAAATAAAAAAGGTTGCCTTTATATAATGTAATCAAATCAGAAAATGGACAATACTTGTAAAGCCCATTAAGTCTAATTCACACTTGCCGAATCATTAGCAGATTTTACTTCTGACGATGGCAACATTTAACATTACTCCAGGAATATGCATTTCACAAGCTGTGTGTTTTCAGAAAACTCTGTAAAGCTGGCCAGCGTCAGCTGGACTGGGGGCCTGCCTGTGAGGACGGCACTTCAGGGGCAGATGGCTGGGCCCGCACCTGATCGCAGCTGCAGAACCAGCTGCTGGGGCTGGATCTGAGTGATATCCTCCGGCTGCAGCTTCTCTGCTGTGCCTTTGCTACGGTTGGTGACATTCTTATTTTTCTTTATGTCTCTGGAACCTCTGGGATTCTCTATGTCGTCTGGATGGCAGCCTTTCTTTTTCAAGGCTTCTAAGTCATCACATCGTGCAGAAGTAGGCATTCCTTCTTGCAAAAACGTCTAAACGACATTAAAACACAAGTCAGAGTACAAAGAGGGGCATATAATATAGCTCATTTCTACCTTTTAAACAAAATGCTCCCTTCATCCAAATCATAGAAAGCACTCTTGTTTAACAACAAAATCATTCCTGAAAAACTCATACCTTTCCCAGGACTGACTTACTAAGTGTTCATTTTAAATGTCTCACTCTTTGATTCCGAAGACGAATTTCTTGGTGAAATCACATATTCAGTGGGATCAACAGCTACTGTTAATGCACACACCTGAACATCAGCCAGTTACAATGCCTCTCACACAGTGCTTCCCTCAACACAACTTTCTGAGTAACTACATGTTACGAAAAACAGACCAGAATAAAAACATCTCAGTTAATATTGGTCATTTCAAAAAGTAGACCACAGATTTAATAAGTATTCCTGAGGTTCTAAAACAATTTTAAGTATTGGCAATTATTGTAAGTAAGTTTTTAAAAACTATTTAAATAGAAGTGTTTTGTAGCACATTTTGGTCTAGTAGCTAAGAAGCTAAGAAGTGTCTCCTACAGGCATGCCTGGCTTCAGTGCCTGGTTCCAGCTTCCTGCTAGTGCAGACCCTAGGGGATGCAGCAGGGGCGGGCTCATGGACTTGGGCTCCCACCACCCACGTGGGCGACCTGGAGGGAGTTCTCAGCTTCCAGTTTCAGCCCAGTCCATTCCTGACCACTGCAGGCATTTGGAAAGAGAACGAGCAGATGGAAGCTCTTACTTTTTCTCTGAAATAGATTTTTAAAAATATTTTATGAAATACGAAGATGGGGGAACAATTAATGACATGGTAATATCTGTTTATTAAGCACAAATTTCATAAAGTATGAGTGAAGATATCTGAGGAATAAACAGGGTCCGGCACTGTGGCACAGTCAGTTAAAGCCCTGGCCTACAGCACCAACATCCCATATGGGCGCCAGTTCCAGTCCCAGCTGCTCCACTTCCAATCCAGCTCTCTGCTATGGCCTGGGAAAGCAGTAGAAGATGGCCTGGGTCCTTGGGCCCCTGCACCAGAGTGGAAGACCCGGGAAAAGCTCCTGGCTCCTGCCTTTGGCTCAGCTCAGCTCTGGCCGTTCAGGAGTGAACCAGCGGGTGGAAGACTTCTCTCTCTTTCTCTGCCTCTCTGTAACTCTGACTTTCAAGCAAATAAATTGGAAAAAAAAAAATTATGCCCCAAAACTCTGAGGCTAAGTTTTTAAGAACAGCGTGGCTATCAGAAGCCTTAGGCCTCTACACAACAGTGGGAGGGAGCAGCAGCCAGGACTGCCGAGAGCCTGCAGGTGAGTGTGCCTGTGTGAACGCCCCAGCTCCACTCCTGGCAACAGCAGGCAAGGCAGGCACCACCTCCTCTGCAAGAACACCGCCACAGCAGTCCAGCCACCCTGCCAGAGCCACACGCAGGGTGCCCCCTCTCCCTCCACCGCCACCAACTCAGTCCCACACACGTGATCCCAGCAAAACCCTGAGAACAGGAAGCATCCCCAGAAAAATTCTGAAAGGAAACAAAACCCCTCAATTTTCCTCCACAATGGTCAAACCACAGATCTGATTATGTGACCGGTTATGCCAACAAAAACAGACAGGCACTTAAAATCTGGGTCCAAATGCCAGATAAAAACATAATCTGTAAGCCTTCGACCTTCTGGTGTTAGTTATGTATTCTGTGAATAAGCTGCATGACCTCTGCATTGGCCTCCTTACCTCCTATTCTGACAATAATTCCTCCTCGCTGAAATGCTACCAAGCTTCATGCAAGGTACTGTTAGAGATGATAAAATGAGTAGCATTCAGCTGCTAACCTAAGCGGGCTCATATTAGGATGTCAATCAATCCTATATTACTTTAACTCAAATATAATCAGGGAATTTAATTTATTATTACCACCCCATTATCAAAGCAGGAGAAAACATTAAAACAGTCAAACTAAACAGCTAAGCTACTTTGGAAAGTTACCCAGCAGAAATATGCCACACATCCATGTTCTAAACCTGTCCAGAAGCCACACCCACAAAGGAAAAGAAGGAAATTAACTCTAGTATGTGTTAAAACATGTAAAAATGCATATATTCAGGATATTATTTTGACATTAATGATTCTTTTTATACTAAGTCTTAAAGTACAGTACATATTTGAAACTTTCAGCAATCTCAATTTGTACCATCCAAACAAGGCTACTCCAAAAAGTCTATGGATGGAACTAAAGGTAAGTTTATTTTGGTGCAGAAAATCTTTGATATCCAATCATAATTTTTTCATAATGTGCATTTTCCGAGAAAGTTGTGAGGAGCCCTGAAATGCCAAGGGCCGCACAGTCCCAGGAGCTGACTGGCCACTGTGCTGCACGGCCCATTCTCAACCATCCCATGTTGCTTAATAAACGCTGAAGGACACAGAGCTGGGGAACCTGATGACTGCAGGATAAACCGGAAGCAATTTTACTTACCGAATTTGTGCACCACCCACAATTGGGGCCTGCCTGGATGCATTCTCCACACGATTTAGCATTTGCTTTTAAACATCTATTTTCATCTGTCAAAAAAGAACAGACCACTTTCCTTGAAGTTTCAGAGAGAAAATAACAAAACATCAAGATCCAGTGACAAGTGATGCGATATGCAAGCATTAGCCAGACTACCAGGAGTGAGTTACCAAGCTAAAGGCACCTACCCCAGAGAGATCGCCATTTTGGATCTTGCCTTTCTAGTATTCCATATGAAAGACAAGGTGCCTATCTATATATTTATCCTCTTGTCCAAAGGCATGAATTTCAGAATCTGTCATCTGGGATGGTTACAAATGCTCTCCGTTTTCACACAACCACATAAAGTGTTCATACTTTTCCCACAAGCACCTCCAGGGCCATTCCTTTGTTTGGGGATAACCCATGACTGTTCGCTTCTGTGTTCAAAGTACTCTTACATCTTTGAACCCACTTAAGGAGCAGCAAGCTTTTCATCTAATAAACACAGGAAGGACTGGCTGTCATTTCTTTCCTGATTATAAACTTCACATAAGCTTATTACAGAAAACACACAAGAGCATAAACAGGAACTACAAGTCATCCACATTCACGTCATCCTTATCACCGCTGCGGACGCCTCTCCAGGTGTTGTTCTGGGCAGAGACAGGCAGCAGGGAAGCAAGCACACAGACTATTTAAACGAAACTGAGGGGGCCAGCGCTGTGGCAAAGAGGGGAAAGCCTGCGCTGCCGGCATCCCATGTGGGTGCCAGTTCGAGCCCCGGCTGCCCCACTTCTGATACAATGCTCTCCTATAGCCTGGGAAAGCAGTGGAGGATGGCCCAAGTTCTTGGGCCCCTGCAACCACACGGGAGGCCCAGAGGAGGCTCCTGGTTTGGGCTCGGCTCAGCTCAGCTCCAGCCATTGTGGCCATCTGGAGAGTGAACCAGTGGATGGAAGGCTTCTCTCTCTCTCTCTCTCTCTGCCTCTGCCTCTCTGTAATTCTGCCTTTCAAATAAATACATAAGTCTTTTAAAAAAAATGAAACTGAGAACATGTTTTCTATACTTTTTTTAAGATTTATTTATTTATTTGAAAGTCAGAGTTACACAGAGAGAGAAGGAGAAGCAGAGAGAGAGAGAAAGAGAGAGAGGTTTTCTTTTTTTTTATTTTTTTATTTTTTTTATTTTTGATAGGCAGAGTGGACAGTGAGAGAGAGAGACAGAGAGAGAAAGGTCTTCCCTTGCCGTTGGTTCACCCTCCGATGGCCGCCGCTGCAGCCGGCGCACCGCGCTGATCCGATGGCAGGAGCCAGGATCCAGGTGCTTTTTCCTGGTCTCCCATGGGGTGCAGGGCCCAAGCACCTGGGCCATCCTCCACTGCACTCCCTGGCCATAGCAGAGAGCTGGCCTGGAAGAGGGGCAACCGGGACAGAATCCGGCGCCCCGACCGGGACTAGAACCCGGTGTGCCGGCGCCGCAAGGTGGAGGATTAGCCTATTGAGCCACGGCGCCGGCTCGAGAGAGAGGTTTTCTATCTGCTAGTCACTCCCCAATTGGCCGCAACAGCCAGAGCTCTGCCAATCCAAAACCAGGAGCTTCTTCCAGGTCTCCCACGTGGGTGCTGGGGCCCAAGGACTTGGGCCATCTTCTACTGCTTTCCCAGGCCATAGCAGAGAGCTCGATCAGAAGTGGAGCAGCTAAGACTCAAACTGACGCCCATATGGGATTCTGGTACTGCAGGCAGCAGCTTTACCTGCTATGCCACAGCGCCAGCCCCTCTATATGGTTTTTATATACTGCTTTCCGAGTATTTCATTGTGTCCTTACAAATTCTTCAAAATGGGGCTTGCAATTATGACACATATTTTCATTATATGAATGTACCCTACTTAATGTTGGACAAGCTTATATTCATTTCAATTATGTATGTGCTAAATTCACACACTTGCTCACATGTAGACTCCAAACATACTATACAGATGGGCGCACACACACACTATACACACACACATCCCCCACACATGTACTATACATGCATGCACAAACCATGCTGCATACACAGGTACTGCACATGTGCACGCACACATATACTATACACATGCACACTTATCCACATACTCTGGGACCATTCTTTGTTTCTTAAAGATTTATTTACTTACTTTACAGAGTTACAGAGAGAGGGCGAAACAAACAGAGATACATGGAGATCTTCCATCTGCTGGTTCATTCCCCAAACAGCCACAAGAGCCAAGGCTGGGCCAGGCCGAGGCCAAGGCCAAGAGACAGGAACTACTCTGGGTGCCACAACTGGGTAGCAAGGGCCCAATTACTTGAGCCATCAGTGCTAACTCCCTGGTGCATTAGCAGGAAGCCCAGTACTTAGGTCCCTGCATCCACGTGAGCGGCCCGGATGAACTTCCTGCTTTGCCTGGCCCAGCCCTAGCTATTGCAGCCATTAGGGAGTGAACCAGAGGATCACTCTCTCTGTCTCTCCCTTGATCTCTCTGTAACTCTACCTTTCAAACAAGTTTTAAAAATCTGTTTGAAAAAATGTGAGGGGCCGGCACTATGGGCCCCTCTGCCTGCGGCACCAGCATCCCATATGCGCACTGGTTCTAGTCCCAGCTGCTCCTCTTCTGATCCAGCTCTCCTTAGCTGGGAAACCAGTAAAAGATGGCCCAAGTGGCTGGGCCCCTACAGCTGTGTGGGAGACCCAGAAAGAAGCTCTGGTCTGCAGATCGGCCCAGCTCCAGCCGTTGCGGCCATTTGGGGAGCGAACCAGCAGATGCAAGAACTTTCTCTCTGTCTCTCCCTCTGTCTATAGCTCTACCTCTCAAATAAGTAAATAAAATCTTTAAAAAAAATTTTTTTTTACCTGTTTGGCCAAACACACAGCAAATTGAACCGAGCAGTCCAATCCAGAAAATCAGTTGTAAATTCATCTGAAATAGAAAAAAAAAGTCTATTATAGCAAAAAAGCCACAAAGTGAGGAAAATGTATTCAGTATAAATGTTCCACCCACCGCATCTCCTGACTTTATAAACATAATACCTCTCAAGCCCTCATACAAATTGCCAGCCCTCTTCCCCACTATTATAGCAACTTCCATGCCACACCCCAGAGTCCAGTCGTGCCTTCTCTTTACCAAATATACCTTAGTATTTAATTAACAGTGCTCAGACATACCAGAGCCAGTGTCCCCCAACACAATCAAGGCTCTCAACAGCCTTGGTCCAGGGGAACCTCCAACTCCCCTGTGATTGCAATCCCCTCCCATCTACAATTCCTCAAGACTTCATTCCTCTGCAGGCCAAAACCAACAACCTGCAAGAGGTCTCGAATAAGTCTTTGAGTTTGAGTTCTCGTTATTTTTCTTGTTAAAGAAAACATACACAAAATTAACAAAATATTGTTTAATTCTCTACATTCTGGTCTACAAATGAGACCAAAAAATGTTTTAAAAAGGCCCAGTCCCTGAAGAGTCATTAGACTCTAAATAAAAAGCTGAGCAGCAGTCTACGTGTTAAATAGACTACCTCCACCTCCGGCCAAGAGGCACGGACACCTTCCCTGAACCCGTGACTGCTCGGCCACAGGGCACCCGCCCACTCCTGACTACACACCACTGATGGACAGCAGCCACTCCAACAATTAGGCATAAATATCTGTCCCTCCCGCAAGAAGAAACATTTTGAAAAGCAAATATATATCAAAAAATTTACCTCTCCTAGTTATCAAAAATACAATTTCAAGCAACTTAAAGTTAAAAAAAAAGTTTATAACCCAACAAAACCTACTTCAAGATGGTTCAGAGAATCAACTGTAGCTCTTTGAGGAAAATTATTTCACAATCCATATTGAAACATTAAAAAGCGGGGGCCGGCGCCGTGGCTCACTTGGCTAATCCTCTGCCTGTGGCACCTGCATCCCATATGGGCGCCAGGTTCTAGTCCCGGTTGCTCCACTTCCAGTCCAGCTCTCTGCTGTGGCCCCAGAAGGCAGTGGAGGATGGCCCAAGTGCTTGGGCACCTGCACCCGTGTGGGAGACCAGGAGGAAGCACCTGACTCCTGGCTTTGGATCGGCGCAGCGCCAGCCATGGTGGCCTTTTAGGGGGTGAACCAACGGAAGGAAGACCTTTCTCTCTGTCTGTTTCTCTATCTCTGTCAAAAAAAAAAAAAGAAAAAGAAAAAGAAAAGAAAAAGAAAAGAAAAGAAACGAAACGAAACGAAACGAAACATTAAAAAGTGTTTCTACCCTGTAAGTAACCCAGTTGCTGGGAACTTCCCCCACAGTGACACACGCACACCTCGCAAAGGTGCTAAGGACATTTAGGAGAGGCAGAAACAGGGAATTCTACTGCCTCAATGTCGTGGACAACCAGCCAGCCATCAAAACAGAATGCCGGGGGTCAGCACTGTGGCATAGTGGGTAAAGCCACGGCCTGCAGTGTCAGCATCACATATGGGCGCTGGTTCGTGTCCCGGCTGCTCCAGTTCAGATCCAGCTCTCTGCTATGGCCTGGGAAAGCAGAAGATGACCCAAGTCCGTGGGCCCCTGTACACACATGGGAGACCTGGAAGAAGCTCCTGGCTCCTGGCTTCCTGGCACCGGCCAATTCGGGAGTGAACCAGCAGATGGAAGACCTCTCTCTCTCTCTCTCTGCCTCTCCTTCTCTCTCTGTAAATCTAACTTTCAAATAAATAAATCTTAAAAAAAAAAAAAAAAACAGAACACCACCACAGTCAGAGGCTTATAGGATAACTACGGATGTAGTGCACACGAACATGAGAGGAATGACATGTAGTAAGAATACCTGGAACAGAAAAGAGACAGCACCACAGGAAGACAACAGTGAGTGTGTGTGTGTGTGTGTGTGTGTGTGTCTTGCTATTTTCTTTTTTCTGCTTCTTAATGAAAACAGCTTAACTTGTTTCTTGGTAGATTTTCTCCAGGAAGAGCTAACTGAACTCCATGCCCGGGGTTCACCCCCAGTGCACTCGCACGCCTCAGGCAAGGTGCTCCACCCTGCAGTGCCAAACATCACACCTGTGCTGCCTCTGCTGCAGGCTGGCTGCCGGAGGAAGACACAAGGAGAAGGTGTGCAGGCATTCACTCTGCAGCCGTGCTCAGACTGGCGAGTTCTGTCACGCCTTGAGCTTAGTTTTGCTTACACAGTACTCATGACTGCATCCAAGACAGCAACAAAAGTGGAATGTGGCAAGGGAAACGCGTAGCAATTCCCTTTCAAGGCCTGCCTGAAATGTATAATACATCAAACAGACTAGAATTCTAAGCAATTCCAGTAACACCACCAAATCCAGAGGCATGAGCACAAGGAGTCCCGTGGAAACACCGGAGGAGTGCAGCGGCCAGGCAGTTCCACACGCGGAGCAGACCAAGTGCTGCTGCAGGACACGACTCGGGCTACTTTAATGAGCACTGGTGTCTTCCGAAATCTTTCAAAATACACAAGATCACCACTAAGGTAAGGGTGTTGGGCAGCAGATAATGCGTCCTAATATTATCTACCTCTAAAACCTCACTTTGAAGAGCACTGTCCTTTTCCTTCAATGAACCTTGACAAAACTTCCGCCTTCTGAAACCCTCCTGCCTCTGCTGACCCCCAACCCAGAAACAGGGAAAACAAACAAGCACTGAGGAGCAGCAGAGCCCACAGGGGGCCTGGGCAGCTCCAGGTCTCACGTCCACTCTCCTGGAACGCTTGGTGCCCAGGCCAGAAACAGAGGTGCAGTGACCGGCTGGTGACAGCTGCAGAAAGCCAGGCTTAAAAAGAAGAGGTGTGGGTGTTCAGCCTAGCGGTTAGAGCACTGTACCTGACACTGGAATACCTGATTTAAGTCCCAGCTCTGGCTCCCATTCCAGCTTCCTGCTACAGCAGACTCTGGGAGGTGGCAGTCAAAGCTCAAGTAGCTGGATTCCCACCACTCACACAGGAGCCTGGGAATGAGCTCCTGGCTCCCAGCTGCAGCCCAGCCCCAACGTGGCAGGCATTTACTGTGACCCAGCACATGGGAGCTGTCTTGCAGCCTCTCAAACAGAAAAAAAAGGGGGGGGGGGGGCGGGGCCGAGAACAGGTGCAGCAGTCTATGTGGAAGAAGACCTCAGGAAAAGAGGTACTTTGAAGACAGTGAACCAAGACAAAGAGAAGAAGCCAATATAAGGTTTTTGTTTGTTTGTTTTTTGTTTTTTTTTGTTGTTGTTGTTGTTGTTGTTTTTTTGACAGGCAGAGTTAGACAGTGAGAGAGACAGAGAGAAAGGTCTTCCGGCCAGCGCCGCAGCTCACTAGGCTAATCCTCCGCCTTGCGGCGCTGGCACACCGTGTTCTAGTCCCGGTCGGGGCGCCGGATTCTGTCCCGGTTGCCCCTCTTCCAGGCCAGCTCTCTGCTGTGGCCAGGGAGTGCAGTGGAGGATGGCCCAAGTCCTTGGGCCCTGCACCCCATGGGAGACCAGGAGAAGCACCTGGTTCCTGCCTTTGGATCAGCGTGGTGCGCCAGCCACAGCGCGCCGGCCACTGGAGGGTGAACCAACTGCCAAGGAAGACCTTTCTCTCTGTTTCTCTCTCTTTCACTGTCCACTCTGAAGAAAGAAAGAAAGAAAGAAAGAAAGAAAGAAAGAAAGAAAGAGAGAGAGAGAGAGGGAGGGAGGGAGGGAGGGAGGGAGGGAGGGAGGGAGGGAGGGAGGGAGGGAGGGAGGGAGGGAGGGAGGTGTTCCTTTTTCCGTTGGTTCACCACCCCCCCAAGTGGCCGCTATGACCGGCGCATTGCAGTAGGTGCGCTGTGCCAATCCGAAGCCAGGAGCCAGGTGCTTCCTCCTGGTCTCCCATGCGGGTGCAGGGCCCAAGGACCTGGGCCATCCTCCACTGCCTTCCTGGGCCACAGCAGAGCTGGACTGGAAGAGGAGCAACCAGGACAGAATCTGGCACCCCAACCAGGACTAGAACCCGGGGTGCCGGCACCGCAGGCAGAGGATTAGCCTAGTGAGCCACGGCGCCGGCCAATATAAGGGTCTTATCTCATAGTGGGTGCCTGGAGGTTCGACCTTGCTCAGACCACAGGGGCCGGAGCTGCAGCGCAGCGGGTTAACACCCTGGCCCGAAGCACCGCATCCCATATGGGCACCGGTTTGAGACCTGGTCGCTCCACTTCTGATCCAGCTCTCTGCTATGGCCTGGGATAGCAGTACAAGATGGCCCAAGTCCTTGGGCCCCCGCACCCATGTGGGAGACCCAGAGGAAGTTCCTGGCTCCTGGCTTCTGATCGGCGCAGCTCTGGCCGTTGCAGCCAATTTGAGAGTGAACCATTGAACGGAAGACCTCTCTCTCTCTCCTCTCCTCTCTCTGTGTAACTCTTTCAAATAAATAAATAAATCTTAAAAAAAAAATTAACTCGGGGCCGGCACTGTAGTGTAGTGGGTAAAGCCGCTGCCTGCTGTGCCGTCATCCCAAATGGACACTGGTTCGAGTCCCAGATGCTCTACATCTGATCCAGCTCTCTGCTATGGCCTGGGAAAGCAGCTGAAGATGATCCAAGTCCTTGGGCCACTGCACCCACGTGGGAGACCTGGAAGAGGCTCCTGGCTCCTGACTATGAATTTGTGCAACTCTGGCCATTGCAGCCATCTAGAGAGTAACCAGAGGATGGAAGACTTCTCTCTCTCTCTCCGTCTCTCTGGCTTCAAATAAATAAATAAACCTTAAAAAAAATACAGAAAGAAAGTGAAACTATTCCTCAGAGGGCATCAGTGGGAAGTGCATCTTCAATCCAGTCTCCAGCAGGGAAACCGTGGCCTCAGGGGCATTCACTCCTTCACACTTACGTCTACTGCAACTACTCATGCAAGGAACAGACAGAAGGCCTACTGGGGCCAGCGCTGTGGCTCACTTGGTTGACCCTCTGCCTGCGGCGCCGGCATCCCATATG